ACTGTCACATTAAAACAGAAATGTCTCTGATTATACTTATAGATGTAGTGAGGGCTTCATCTTTAAGTTTATTTCATATTTTTACAGACATTTTAGCAATCAGCTACAAATTTAACACAATTTTAAGCTGCAGGTGGTTTCCACATCCAAGTTTGAGTTAACATTCATGTCGTCTTGTTGTCCTTAGGCTTTACTGTGTGTGTCTGTGCACCTGAGTGTGTGTGTGTGTGATGCTGTACCTCTCCCAGGTTGAGGAAGGCCACAGAGTAGCGAGGGTCGGTGTCATCGGTCCAGCCTTCCTGGCCAGAGTGGATGAACTCCACGTTCCTGATCTGAGCTCTGCCTTTAGGAAGGAATTGTAAATTTTTTTTATGTGTTTAAATAACATGTAAATTATTAAAATGACAGAGTAAACAGTCATACAAATAAATATCTGTCTAACAAATATATATATCTATATAAATATAACAATATGAAGAATGAATTAATAAAGAAAATGCTAATAGAGGACCCACATCATAACATACTGAGGTAAAGCAGTAGTGAATGTCCTCTCTAGTCATGAACTTAATGCTCATTTATCCAATAAAAAACACACAGTGCTCTATAAGGATGGGATTTACTTTACACACACTCAGTACAGCAGTTCTACCTTTGGTTCCAGCCCAAGGGTAAGTGCTGACCAACACTCTCGCTCCAAACGACTCCCTCATCATATCTGGATACTCCTGACCAATGATCTTGATGTTTCTGGTCAGGAGACCGACATCAGCGGCCAGAGTGTAGGACAGAGAGGAACCTGCCACAGAGTGGGTCTCACCTGCACAGAGACAGAATCAGCATCAGTCATTTAGGATGAGTCACTTTTAAAACCAGCTTGTTCCGGGGCCATATCTAGTTACAGCAGCCACGTCTCATTCGGCCCAACAGGACCTTTGAGCTGCTCTAAAAGCCAACAACAGGCCGAATACTTACTGAGGCATTAGAGACACCGATTAGAAGTAAACATTGAAATGTGAGTGCCAGTTTCTGCAAGTTAAACATTGTTTCATAGTTCTGGACAGGTTCACTGCATCTGCTGACACAGATGTTGGACTGACCAATGTGAGTGTGGGTCAAAGGCTGGTTCAGGGTTAGAACAAGGCCGTCTGCTGACACATTGGTGATCTGTCGCTTTTCTGTCTCCCACGCGCTGTAGCTGGTGGTGGAGATGATAACCTCGTCTCCAACCTGCTCACACGTCAACAAAATAACCGTAGCTGTCAACAGTTGTATTTGTACGAGATGTAAAGAGTGACTGGTAAACGTGGCCGTGGCGGTGTTTAGTTAGCCAGATTTCACTAAAACCTTTCTATTTGATTACATCTGTTTAACACTGGGTTAAAAGCAAGAATGATACAAACCTGCCAGTCGACAGACTGCGCCAGGTTCAGAGTGTTGGACCCGGCATCAGCAGTGGCAGCAAGTTTGGTGTGGTAAACACTGCGGGGTTGTCCGTACAGCTCCAGTTCACCAAACACACCTGTCGTATGACCAAAGACACAGTCAACTCTGAAGCATGTGTCACTGGGATTATTGGTTTTGGAGGAAATACCTTTTGTGACATAGAAGCAAAATCATAAAATGGAATGAAATTATTCTCTGTCTGAATGTTTCTCATTTATTTCTCCCTCCGGCATTTGCTCAGATTAGCACAGTTACCTTCAGATCAGAATCAGAATCTCTTACCCAGAACTTTAGCTCCTTGGTTGGGTCCATTTGGCAGAGGCCAATCCGGAGTGAAGTGGTTCCCTCTCAGATTGATGCACAGCTGACCCCTGAACGGCTTGTCAGCCGATCCTGCGATCAGCCTTCCACCCTGAAACAGCAGGAGATGTAAACATCGCCTCACCGAAACATCCCAGGCAGCAGCTGTTCAGTCATGGTTATTTGTTGCTGCTAATGCAAAAGTACCCATGTCTGTATGTCATCTCCAGGTAACTGGTTGCTGCTGCTCAGGCATGATATGCATCACTCAAAAACACATACCGACCATCACAAACTGGCTACAGGGCCAATACAGTAATAATTGTCTTATTTCAGCTGGTGAGACAATAACTGACATGAAAAGCTTCGTCAGCTCTTGAAAAGCTGTCATTTTGCATTTTTAAGATATACATTAAACTTCTCATTTATACCACTTTCTTCCCCATTTGTATGCACCATTTACAGCTGCAACTCGTGGTTATTTTTATTATCAGTAAAACTGCTTTTATTTTTGTCAATGATCATTTCTTAGAGCCCACGGTGATGTCCAAAATTAGCTTGTTTTGTCTCATCAACAGTCCAAACCTTGACATATTCAACTGATTGTTGTATCTGAGAAAATCTACAAATTCCCACTCTCAGGGAGCTGGAAACAGAATTGTTCATGTTTTAGCTTGAAACATGACTGAACCACCTGAAATTTTCACAGGTTTCAATTCACCTGACTGACGCAAAAAAAAAAAATTTACTTTCAAGTAATAAGGTTGATAATCCTGATCCCACAGACCTGGATGGAGATGTAGACAGCATCTATCACCAGATTACTGTACTGAGGTGCAGCCTGAGCCTGCCAGGTGGACGAGCTGTTCAAGGTGTCGGGGATCTCAAGAACTCCAATGACAGTCAGCTTGTGGAGGGGAGGTGTGTTGATGTCCAGAATGATCCACTTCCCTGTGGTTTGATGAGTATACAAAGGTATTTTAGTCATAGTATACTACACCAGAAAAGGTTGAGATTTTGTCTAATGTTTCCATATTCTCCTTTATCTCACAGTGAAGGAAACATCTAAAACAGTAAAATCCTCAGGCAACTCGGGTGGAAAAGCAACAATGTCTACATAACGAACATGTCCCCATTAGTTCTCTTTTCTTTAAATACATTGTTTTAAAGACATTACCCGATGGGATGATGGCGTCAGAGCCCGCTGTTGGTACCTTGAAGTTGTTTTCAGGTGAACTTTCCCAGAAAGATACATTAGACCACAGACTAGAGAGAAACAAAGGACAAACCAGACTCAACAAGTTAACTCTCGCCATTTGTGGAAATTAAACAAGGTGTGAACTGTCTTTTGTCTACACGAACCAACTTTAAACCAATAATGTTTGCTTTTAATGCAACAGCTACTCCTAATTCAACCACAGTGATTTCTAAAGATATTTATAAAAAATAACCTCGTAAAAGTGTCTTTGCTTTCACTCGGCCGACCACCGAATAAGGGGGTGAATGTGTCTTGGGGTGGTGGAGGTGGGGGGATGCAGTTGGGGTAGAAGCAGCGGTACAGCACCAAGTTCACTGCAATATCAACCATGGAGCGATCGACACTGTTACGGCGCCTGCGGTGGTTCATCCTCCCAGACACTGAGGGAACAGAATGATAACAATTTACAGTAGATATTGCTCTACATGCATGTTTTAGTGGTAAATAATCTCAAGGATGAAAACTCCAGCTGGTGATCTGCATAAAGCAAACAATCAGTACACACAAAACTCTTCTGTATTTTCAGGCACTTTCCACTTTATTAGGTCCACCTGTACAACTGTATGCACTTCAATACAACACTTCCACCTTAACATCTGTGTTTAAGAAGCTCAAAATGTTCCAGTTTATGGTGAAATTGTCATAAATGTATAAATTCAATTATATATTTATTATTGACGCAATAGTTAAAGGTGATATATTCAGTGTACAAAAATATAAAATCAAAGTCCAAATCAAAATGTGTCTCACCGATGTAGTTGAAGATATGGGAGCTGTTGTTAAAGTACCAGTCTCCGTTCGTGTTATTGCTGAAGCTCAGCGGTGTCAATGAGCCGTTCCTGTCATCGATTATATGAACCCTGTCTGGAGTCTGAGTGAAGTTGTGGCTGATGATCACATACTGATCTGGCTGTTTGAGGGAAAATGTACAAGAAAAACATGAGATCAACAGGCTGGTCTGAAATGTGACAGATATTCAGTACTGTTCTGCTATTTGCTTATATTAATACCATGATAATGCTCTAAATGTACCTTGAAGCCATAGAATTTTGCGTTGTAACTGATGTCAGTGACATAGTCCACATTGTTAAAGTACCAGTTATATGGCTGTTGTGAAGGGATCAAGGCCATCCAGCCATATGGATGAGTCAGTCTCTTGTTTAGACAGGGGAGCACACTGGTGCCTGTGATAGTGAGTCAGACACTCAGTAAAATGCATTTGGTATCACTTTAACCCTCCATATTCAGCATTTAAAGGCATTATAAAACCTTTAATCAATCTAGCTGTAAGCAGGTAAAAGAAGATTTTACTAATGTACATTTGTCAACTCCCCTGTACAGACATTTTATAGAATTTCAACTGTTTTACTTACTGTTATCAACAATACGGCAATATTAAGTGACTGAAAACTGAAACAGAAGCAGCTACATCTTAAGAGTGTTTGTTATATTTTTAATGGCTGTATTATCACATCATGATAAACAGGTCACATGACTCCTCATCTGTGTGTGACCTGTTGTCAGTTTGATGCTAATGGACTTACAGCGCTCATGCCCACACTGGTGTGCACCAAGATAAAAGTCAGATAGGGACATGGAGTGAGGAGACATGCAAAAATATACTAGTGCTACTTGTAAAATTCATGACATCTACTGTCTCCTGTGATGGAGTTCGTCAGTAATTCACACTAATCAACAGAAGAGGACAATAAAGGTTACACATACTGGAAGTTACTGCTTCAGTAACAGCAAACTGACATTTTAAAGACATATGTGTTTTCATACCATGTGCGTTTGTTAACATGACATTCTTCCAGTACAGAGATGACGGTGAGGGATTGTTGAAGGCCAAACGATGGAAGTTTACGGTGTGGTCGCACACGGCACCGGGGAAGCCCACGCTCCATTCAGCTTTCTGTGAACAGTGAGCTGGGTCCAGCAAGGGGCTCATAGGCACAACTTTGTGGTTGATGTTCCCTGAAAACAAGCAAACATAGGTAACACACAGTTTAGGTCAGATGTTGAATTGCAACCAAGACTGCAGCCTGTCAATCTCAGATGTCAATGTTTTCTGGAAGTTGGGTAATGGTTAGATTTAAGGCTAACCTCTAACCCTATTAACCATTTTCCAGCTAATATCAACAATTTCCTATTGAGGTTGGCGGTCCACCTGTCTGTAGGCAGGTTCTCTTGGAAATACTCACTGACCTTCAAGTGTTTATTAATCTGCTACTAACATATTCACCAACAAATACATTAGTTGCTAACATTTACAAAAGAATTAGGGTGCCCAGCTGTTTTGAGGAATTACTGAGCCTTTTGAAAAACCAGCCATTTTTGAATTGTACAGATTTAAATCTTCTTTAGGAACAAAGGGACGTGGAACCACAGACATGTTAAGTAAATCAGAAGGTATCGACTCATGCATTTGTTAACAATAATAAATCCACTTAAAAAAACACTAAAAATAGGCAGACAGGGCTGGTGTGTACCTGTGAGGGAGCCATCAGTGTCCACCAGCTGCACCTCGTGCTCCCACCTGAAGCCAGCCTTGTTGGGCGAGTTGACGTACCGGATGCCACTAAACCTGATGGCCCAGCCACCACACCGGTCCACACACGTCCCGTCGATTGAGGTTACACCGATGGCTGTGCAGGAGCTGCGGTTGAAGTTGAGGAACTTGGTGTTAAGGACACTCATGCCATCGTCAAACGGCATGATGACTCCTCGGCGCGTGCAGAAGTCACTTCCCAGCCCCAGCTCGTCCGCGTGGCCCACAATAGTGGTGTTGGACACCGCTGCCCCTCCATTCTCTCCAAAGCCACTCACAGCCCACTGGAAGATGCGTTTGGCTTCAATCCCAGCTTTCTCATTGTTAACCATGATGAAGTTGTTGAACTGCACGGCGCCCACATTGACCCACTCAGCACCCTTCTCACAGTTCCAGGTGGTGAGTGAGTGGAAAACAGCGGGCTCCGGGGTTTGGCTGAAGCATTCTCCGTTCTTCACAGGGAAAAATTCTTGGAAGATCCAAAGGCCGAACCTACCCTGAGAGTGCACAGTGTTGTTGTAAAACTCACCGAGGGGAACCCTCTTCGGACAGACGATTGGATTGTAGGAAGGGTCATCAGGGTGGTCATCCATGTGGTACCAGAAGCCAAAGTGGGTGCCTCCTGCGGCAGCATTGTGGCGGATGATATTATTAGGATTGGAGACCCAGAAAGCAGCAGGAGTGACATCATCATTCAGCAGGCTGGTGCTTTGTTTGACAAACACAGCCAGGTTGTACTGCAGGATGTTCTGTGTCTCAACGCCATCCTCAATGAAGAAGGCACTACCCATGATGTCGTAGATGACATTGCGCTCCACCAGCATCCGGTGGGTGTTGTGGATGGTTACGGCCCTGTTGTAGGTCTGATGGATTGCACAACCCCTCACATACGACTGGTAGTTGATGTCTCCCATCAGATGCCAGTGGATGGGATAACGTCCCAGCCTGAAGGCCTGTCCAGCATGGAAGACCTGGGGTGCAAAAACACAAAGAGATTTTGGCTTATGCAAATAAATAACTACACTGAGAAGGAAAAAAAACAAAACAGACTATGAGGATGAGGAGATTTAGAATAACTGGATCAATATACATTGCACATGTAATGGAGTTTCAGTAAACAAAGTTCGACACTGTCCATCACTGGAAATCATTTAATTGAGCTGATGTTTTCAGAACTGTATGGAGTGCACAAACCTTTGCTGAAATCAAAAGCAGAGAAAGTTTTAGATTTTCACCTCAACATATTCCAGTCTGCCGACTGCAAGGTTCTGATTTGGCCTGGGTGCGTGGAACATGATGCAACCGCCAAACTGATCGCTGCCAGCCTCCTCTCCAAACCTTCCTTGGAAACAGGTTTGGGTGGCAAATTCACCTACAACACATGGCATGGAAAAATTTCAATAAATATGTATGTTGTTATTCTCAAAATCTCACAAGTCCAATATCAAAGGCTAACAGTACTATTCAGTACAAACTACTACTTTTTAACCTAAAGTAGAACTGAAACAATTTGTCAGCTAATTGATTTGTCAGTCAATAGAAAATTAATAGCAACAAATTTAATAACTTCATTTTTTAAAAAGAAAAATATACTTTTTTTCTGGTTCCAGCTGTTAAAATGGAAATGCTTGGGTTTTTTTTGTTTTGTTTTAGTCACTTCAGGCTCTGGGAAACTATACGAACACATCTGTGTATTTCATGAGTTAAAGGACAAGTTTTTCATGTTTCATGTTGTAAATTCAACTGACAGATCACTCTGCAGCAAGAAAAATAACTGTAAAACAACTAGGATAGGTTTTAGTATTTAGGGATTTTACTAACAGCAACATTTTAATCCCCTCTTTTACAATGCATTTAGTGTAAAATTAAATCAGAAAAATTCTAAAATCTGAGCACAGTACCTGTGTTAAAGCCATCGGGACAGGCTTTGATCTGGTCACTCCATTCCACTTGCTGGGAGCCTTGGACAACAACGTTCCTGGTGAGAAGACCCACCTCAGCTCGGCCCTCAAACCACGTACCATCTGGCAGTGTGATGGTCAGCCCAAGGTGAGTGTACAGCAGTGGTTCGGTCAGGTTGAGGGTCTTTCCATCAGCCGACACGGCGGCAATCCTCTTCACCTCGTTCTCTGCCTGACTGTGCCTGGAAAAGACAAATTATATTAGGTAATGTTGGAGATTTATATCTGTAGCTCCATAGCTTTCATTTATCAGAGTGATATTATGGGATAAAATACAATACATATGACAGACCTACCCACTAAGCTTTGAAAAAGGATCACTAACTGTAAAAAGACAAACATACTGTAGGTAAATGAGCTTTAACTAAGGCTATCTCAACAGCTAACTGTAGCTAGTCAGAGCAGTTAGGTTTTTACATGCAGTTATTTTTATTTGTGTGTATTTATTTTTTTCAAAAACCTTACGTTTATGTATTAATTTCATATTTCACAATTTGATGTCAAATCAGTCTCTTTTACAAACCACAAATTTGCCTCAAGGGGCTTAACAACTGCATTCGACACCTTTTGTCCTCATGGTAAGGAGAAATTCTTGACTTCATTCAGTTTAGTCCAATCAAGTCATTAAGGCTTTGTAGAGCAGGTAAAAAGAGAATTTCTTAAAACCATTTTCCTGCCTGAATTCCAGACTCAACTTTACCTGTTACCGGTTGAGGCGACGACTACCTCATCTCCAACTTTCCATGTCACTGCCTTCATCAGGGTCAGCGTGAGGGAGCCTGCGTTTGCTGTCTGGGCCAAGTGGGTCCAGGGGACAGGAACTGGTATACCTGGAGAAACATGCTGTCAGTAATGACTTGCACCTGAGGAGAGGAGAAGGCTGTCACTAATAATCACATCCCTGCAGGACACACAGCTCTTATCTTATTGCTAACTACTTAATGTTTATTATTATGTGACATAAACACTAGCCATATTAATATGGTTTTTGGAATATTTGATCCATAGCTCTTTTCTGTTGCTTAATGCTTTATAGGTGCTGAACCTTAGGCCAGAACTGGTTTCCAGTTATGCTAAACTAACCATCTCCTTCTAACTCTCAGCAAAAGGTGAATAAGCATGTTTTGCAAAATGTCAGACTATCCCTTTAAATTTCAGAGAGGAAATAGCTCAAGTTAGTGAGAGATTTTTCAGTTTTACAAATAAACATACTGCTTATGTATTGTGGGTATGAATATGTTTGTGTGGTCATACCGTGCAGGTCCAGCACCCCCTCTCTGACAGCCAGCGTCTTGGCTCCATAGATGGGAAGTTCAGGTGAGCGCAGATGTCCATGAAGTGTGATGATGGCTTTGTGCTGGAAAGGTGCCCCCTCCTGGCCGATCTGGAGCCGCCCGCCATCCGTAATCAGGATGTTCTCAGCCTGCAGCTCGATGTCCACTTCATCAAACACCAATGTGCCTCCTGAGCACAGAGAAATAGCAGGGTACAAACATGGCAAGAAAGAGGATTTATCTTATATTTAGAAGTTATAATGTATGCGAGGTTTGGAAATATTTTCACATTTTAATATGTATTACTACTTTGCCACTGGTTACAATAATGCAATAAAAAACTGATTGTGTCCTAAAAATGTATCTGTAAATAAAATAAATGTCACTTCATAAAAAGTCACATCACTGGAAAAATTTGAAAAAAATAATTCAAAATAAGGTTATCTTAAAGTAAAATAAAGTAATTTTGAACCTTGAATAAGGAGCATTTTGAGCACTGCGGTATTGGTGTCCAGCAGGATGGTCTGGCCTTTAGTGATGACAGCAAACGAGCCCGTCTCAGGTGGAGACAGACCACCCCAAGTGAACGGAGACGACCACACGTCAATGTAGAAGAAATCAGCATTGTCCTAAAGAAAGAGACAGATGATCTCTAAAGACATGAATCAGTGTGATGATAACAAAACAGTCCTGACACTGCTGTGTCAGTAAGGTCGAGGGATCTGACTGCCCTCTCTCACCATCTTGGCAATGCCTTGGTCTCGAACGCTGACTCTGACTTTGGTTTGCTGAGACTGCTGCTGAGCGTTTGTCACACAGATGATGTGTGTGTTGTTGGAGGACTGGACGTCACACACGGACCCTGCGATGGTCACGTTGATGTCATTCATGTTAGTGCTATAAGGTGAACGTGATGTGAGGTGGGCACCAATAAAACAAAAGAATACAAACAGATTAATTCACTGATTAATCAACAGAAAGATCAGATAGATTTAAAATCTTTTACACCGTATTGTGACATAGCAAATGTAAAATACACTCAAAATATTATAAGAAATAACTTTAAGTTACACCTCCTTGAACCTTATTGCGGTGGAGGGGTTTGAGTACCCGAGTGATCCTAGGAGCTATGTTGTCGGGGGCTATATGCCCTTGGTAGGGTCTCCCAAGGCAAACAGGTCCTAGGTGATGGGTCAGACTAGGAGTGGTTCAAGACCCCCTTATGAAAAAATTAAAATCACATACTGTGATGTTGCCTGGTATGGTGCAACCAGGGCCCCACCCTGGAGCCAGGCCCAGGGGTGGGGCTCAAATACGAGCAACTGGTGGCCAGGCCTCTTCCCACGGGGCCCGGCTGGGCTTAGCCCGAATGAGCAACGTGGGGATGTCCTCCCGTGGGCCCACCACCTGCAGGAGGATCCATAAAGGGCTGGTGCACAGTGGATTGGGCAGCAGTC